GTGACGATTTGTTAATCTAATGAATAACTGATTTGTTAAATCAAATGAAAAATGGTGTGTCTGATTGGTCCAGACGCTACAATACTTAATATTCTGGCATTCAGTTATGTGATTATGTAGCCTAACTTATGTTCTCTGCATGAAGTAACGTCTGGCACAGTCGCAGCCTGTGCTTATTAGAAAGCAAACAAATAGCATTAATAATCATTAATTTTCCTTAGCATATGCTATGATAAATCTGACATTTGTGTAAAATAATGGAGCATTAGGTCATGAATATTGCCTTAAAAGTCATTGAAATTTATTGGTTGAACGAACCCTGCATTTAATGAGTGAATGCCTACGATATAGGAGTTAGCCTATCACACAAACTAGAGTCCTGTTTTTCCGAATATCTGCACGATCGCAAATGTACAATAAACAACAAGTTACTGAGTAACTTTCAGACACAAAATTCTGTTTCGCCCCATCAATGCGTCTCCGAGCAACACAGTGTTTTGTTTTTCCTCATTACACGGACCAGTAAATGGTTCAAATAGGCTATTAGTACAGTCGTTTGCTAAGTTAAATTAATTAGCATTTTAAACAAATCGACCACGCACAACACCTTAGCAGTTGTGTGCAACTGCGATATACTAAAAACTAGTCAAAATACCTTAAAGTAACTGCATAGCAAAGCCCTGGCAATCACACAGAACACCTTAGCAATCGCATAACAACACATTAACCATTCAAACCCTGTTGAAAAAAACAGCATATGCTGGTTAGGTATGTTTTGATGCTGGGATGCTGGTTTAAGCTGGTCCTTTGCTGATTTATGCTGGTCCTTTTGCCAGTTTATGCTGGTCCTTTGCCAGCACATGACCAGCATAAACCAGCAAAAGGACCAGCATAAACCAGCAAAGGACCATCTTAAACCAGCAAAGGACCAGTTTAAACCAGCAAAGGACCAGCATAAACCAGCAAAGGACCAGCTTAAACCAGCATCCCAGCGTCAAAACATACCTAACCAGCATATGCTGGTTTTTTTCATCAGGGAAGCCTTTGCAACCATCTAAACAACCAAGCAAACAAATAGCTAAAAGTTGTAATTATACACGTTTTTCCGCCCACAGCCAATTCTAAAGATTTCATTAGTCATGCCAATCACAGTGCTGAATGCCTAACCAACACTGAAACAAATACTAACCCACAACCATTACACCCTAACCCCAGAATAGCATTGTTAGCACATCTCTTCATTGTTAGCATTACTCTGAACTCTGAGCTAAATCGAAGGAATATACCTTGAAAGGTGACTGCACGATTAAGTTGACCAATGAAATTGGCTACAGGGCGACGTTTGGAACTGGTTTGGAAGAAGCACATCCATATAGCTAGCAACCGCATAGCAATACACTAAAAGTGTGGTCACATTAGTGAAATTTCGACAAAATTTGACGTGCAAAAAAGGTCTTAGAACCATATAATAGAACCAAGTAACTTTCTGTTGGACAGCAAGGTGAAGTCGAGTGACCAACTTGAATCAGTTGGGAAATCTGCATGGGGAAATCATTCTTCCTCACATGAAATTCCCAAACCTGTGGCTTCCAATTAAAAGGTGAAATTTCTTCTGGAAAAATATGACCGCAGATTAACAAACATGTAGCAGAGCATCACATAGCAACAACCTAACAACCTAGCAGTGACTTTGAATGGGAAAGCATTAGTAACAGTTTCTTCAGAAAATGTAAAGGCCTAGTTTATGTACTTAACAGACTCTTTCTTGTCAAGTATGTGCTAATTACCAGAGCAGGTTGCCATGAATTAGTGACAGGAATTCCGGTTCCTTTTAGGGAGCTCGGCTCAGCTCAGCAATGAGAACCGGCTCTTTTGCCTCCCAAATGGCTCTTTATTTAGCACCACTTCCAGCTTTCATTTAAATTATTCAAAGTAATTATACAAAACCTTTCCAAAATACCACAATTGTACATTATTTGTGGTATAAAAACCATAAATTATGTAAAAACATCAAACACTATTACAGAATGTTACAGTGAATGATCAAAACACAAACCATTCCAAACGAATCATACTCAAAATGGAACACAGTGTTACAAATAAAACTCATAGAGCCGACTCGTTCACCACAATATCAATGCCACAATGCAACAGCATGAACCATGGACAGGCTGTTCGTTTATAATTGAAGCAGCAACTTTAAAGTGCTTGTTTTGTATGGAGTTACATTTGTGCCAAAAGAATGTTGACTGCTTTGTACAATACATTTGTTTACTGTACATAACGAGTTTTCTATAACATTTAGATGCATTTATCATTGTGTGCTATAGACCTTATTTAGCTCCGTCCTTTTTCAACACTGCACTCGTCTTCTGTCTTCCAGTTCGAATTTCTACAACATGAAGGTAAGATCCTATGGATTTATAAATGAACTGCTCTTTTAAAATTTTCCCGGTCTACTGACATTTGTTACGACATCCACTTTGAACATTACAATGCACATGATATCTTTCGATAACTCTAAAATAAGTAAATACACTTCATGTCATAGAAATATACAAAGCTACCGCAAGATGGCTGCTCACTTGTTTCTCTGACTCATAAGGTCTATAAACTTGAAGGAATCTGTAGTCCTTAGGTTTCATCTTAAGGCTTGTTCACACCGGGACGAATATCGCGCACGATTATCACCGACATTTAACGCCTCGTGACTAAACAAAGGGCGCCAATGTGAGTGTGCACACCGACGTGCAAAACGTGGGGTATTTCTGTTTTTCATTAAGCGCCATCTAATGTCAGGGAGTGAATTTGCACGTTCACTCGGATCATCGCCTGTGTAAATTGCTTGGGTATGAACACAAAAGACGTGTCGAAAAACGTTGGCGATAAGCACGCGTGATAAACGTCCCGGTGTGTATGAGGCTTTAGGGTTTCAACCAAGATGGTGAGAAAAATCTAAACGTTCTGTTGTTTACATGATATCTAAAATGTGTTGCAGAATGTTCACTGAGAGTAGCAATTGCATAAAATTGAGCTGAACGCATAACAGAGAGAACAACACAAGCAGACAACATAATTTTTGGCACAAATGGTACGCCATAGTTTATGTGCTAAAGTCACATAAAATGTGCCTCTTTAAATGATTATTCATGACACTCTAAATCTGAAAGTGCTATTGTGAAATACATTGGACTCAAAATGAGCCCTTTTGCACTTGGCAGATTCAAAAGAGGACTTTTTACCTTTTTATTGCTTCCTAGACAACTGCAATCAATTACAATAAATTAAACAATGTGCATCTCTTCTCATCCTGGATTATTCATTTCTCTTCCGCCCTCTTTGATGTTTATTTTCTTCAGTTCCCGATGTTGGGGTGGTCTGATGAGAAGGGACTTATAATCGAGATGGGCATGTGCAGTGGGTTGCGTCACGGTCGTCCAAACACTTTAATGTCAGAGGCGTGATAAACAACACGTAAACACAGATGCATCCCAGAACATGACTGTTGGAAAGCCAGAATATGTGAGACAGTTTCCATATATTATTGAGCTTCTCGATCCTCATTTTCATCCCCCATCCTGTTTGTGTTTTTCACTTCTGCAGTCGCATGTACCATCTGCCTTCCCTGCAAACAGCAGGCAACCTCCACTACCTACTGTCCCCACACAGTCTCCGTAATGTCCTGCTGGACCGTATGTTTGTCCTCTCAACAGCACACAAACTGCAAAACCCTCCTGCACATGCATAGTGTAATTTGTCACAATAATGGAGGTGTTTTTGCTGACTAGCATTGGTCTTTTTTTGATATCTTGGTCAAATGACTTTGCTGCAGTGTGGCGCATGTCATTTCCTGAGATCTGATACTGCCCCCTACTGGAGAAATGAAAGTGTATTAATGTGGATGGGGGAACTGCGCTACTGTCATTCTGTACTGGGAGTCATTTGGCTTGCCAGTCAAAGTGCCTGATTATATCAGTCTGTTGTATCCACGAATCTATAATAAAGAACATTATATAGATCAGTGGTTGTATCAAAGCATGGCATGTGATGTCATAAACAGGGTAACAGCAGTAAGTTATTTAAATTAAACATTTTGTGAAATGTTCATACTTTAGTTTTCCAAAAAAAAAAAACTTTTTCATGACTCATAATGTATGAGATTGTCTTTATGATATCCAGGGTTATTATCATTTACTAAAACTAAAATTAAAACTAAAACCACTAAAAACTATTATTGTTACTTGAATCTGTCTATC